TTTTCCCCACCATGAGTTGAGTGCTGCAACTTAGTGGTGAACACAACACCAGCTTATCATATCTACACCTACAGGTCAACAAACTGAAGTCTGTGTTCTGGTCTCCTAGCTGTCATCAAGGTGTCAGCAGGGCTGTGTTCTCATCCGAAGGCTCAGGCTCCTACACCAAGCTCCAGAGCTATTGACACATTCCATTGTCTAGGATTGTAGGGTGGAAGTCCTCCATTTCTAGAAGCCTTGCCCCATTCCTGGCATTTCTCTTTGAAGTGTGGCAGTTTACTTCTTCAAGGCTAACTGGATGGCCGCTCTGTTGGCCAGATCTTTCCCGTTAGGAAAGCCTGCCAGTCTAACTTTAAGCAGTCCAGGGTTAGCTAATTAGGGATCTGCAAAGTCACTGTACTTGTCCCAGAGAGCCCAATTGTAAGAGTACAATCTGAGTCTGTTCCACAAGCTCTCCCCACACTTGAGGAGAGCTTCCATACTAGGAACCTTGAGTTTGTGTCTTGTGATAACTGCAAGATGCATTGACAGAAGTGCTTTGTGACTTCCACAGTTGGTCCTTCAGGGCTTCTGCAGATGCGAGGGACCCTGAGCTAGTGCAGGAAATAACAAGAGCTCATCTGGAGACAAGGGGACCATCAATCAGCTTCGGTCTCTCTCATTGTAACCACAGTGATGACCCTGGGCAAGACCCAGAAAGAAAACCTTCAGCTGAGCCAGCCAACAAACAGAACAAGGAGGGGGACTACATTCTGACATCTCACAGATACACTTATGTGCTTTGTGCTCCGGGTAATGGTTCTTAACCTGTGGGTCATGACCCCTTTGGGGTCACATATTAGATTTACATTACAATTCATAACAGTAGCAGAATTATAGTTATAAAGTAGCAATGAAATAATTTTATGGTTGGAGTCACCACAACATGAGAAAACTGAATTAGGCTGAAGCATCAGGAAAGTTAAGAACCACTGAAGTGCTGGGCTGTGGTGGCACACACCTTTAATCCCAGCACTCGGGAGGCAGAGGCAGGCAGATCTCTGTGAGTTCGAGGCCAGCCTGGTCTCCAGAGCGAGTGCCAGGACAGGCTCCAAAGCTACACAGAGAAATCCTGTCTCGAAAAGCAAAAAACAAACAAACAAAAGCCACTAAAGGATATGTGATAGGTAGGGTTTTAGTTGGAGGGGGGTGATGGGGGAAGACAGGAGGGAGAAGGGAACTGGGATTGTCATGTAAAACAATCTTGTTTCTAATTAAAATAAAAAATGATTTTAAAAGAAAAAAAAAAAACCACTGAAGTAAGAGGACCATTTCTCTATGGACAGAAGCTCACTCAGGCTGGGAGAGTATTGTCTTTGTGGTACTGAATCAAACAAATGTCGGAACATGTGAGAAATGGAGGAAACTTTGCCCCTAGCAGTCCACAACCACCAGTCTGGGGGGGGGTATAAATATCTTATTTAAAATGAATTAAGACATAACAATTCTCAGAATAGTCACTGACTAAAAGATGTTATAAACCACTGAAAATTAAGGTGAGGGGCTGGGGTGCTGGCCTAGTCTGTAAAGTGCTGGCCACAGATTTGAATTCAGAACATCCACATAAAAAGCCAGGCACAGTAGTCCAGGCTGTAATCTCAACACTGGGTTGTGGTACACTGAGGATCTCTGAGGTTTGTGAGCCAGTCCAACCAGTCACCAAGCTATAGGTTCAGTTGAGAGACCCTGTCTCAAAAAATGAGGTGGAGAGTGACCGAGGAAGACTCCTGATGTCAATCTCAGGGTTCCATATGCATGTGCAATCATGTGCTTGTACACAGACAGACAGACAGACAGACAGACAGACAGACAGACA